AAAAAAAGTTCCCCCTTAATTTGTGCTTAAAAAAATTGGTTGGATTAAAATCAAACGGTCTCGTTTATAGAGACGTTCCCCCTTAGTATATGCATAGCCCTTTTCTTCCCCCTTTTGACATTAACAAAAAGATAAACGAAATGATTTTATTTAATAAAGGGAAATAGCGGATTACAACGGAAGCATTAAAAAAGAACAGGATAATTAAAGTAAAAGAGATAGAAATTCTAGGGGAGTCCTAGTCTTCGTCTTCGGTTTCCTCCTCGTCGTTGTCGACGTCCATCTCATCCCCATCGATGGCATCGTCGAACTCGTCTTCATCCGGGGAGCTTGACGGGGCGTAGGAGTCATCGGCTTCGTCTTCGTCACCGTACACTTGCCCAAAGAACGTGCCGTGGTACGGTGGGGGGACGTAGTTGATGCCTTGGAAGTACGAGTTCATCGCGTATCCTTGGCGTTGAACAGCCACGTCGAGCCGTTCAAGGTAGCTCCCCATCCCGTCAACCTTGAGGTGGAGCTGGTTGAGGGAGTGGGTGATGGAGGCGAGGTTGGCCCGGGCCTGGGGTTCGGCTTGGCCAGCGGCAGTGGCAGTGCGGCGTGGCTGGGCAGTGGCAGCCGCGGCGTTGTCTGACCGCTTGAGGAAGGTTTGGTTGCTGATTGTCCAAATCTTCGTGGCCTTCGTGAGCGGACCAACGGTGGTGGTTACCTTGAACCGTTCAAGGATGTCCATCACCAAAAACGGGTACGGGAGGAGGTGGTCGTGCTCGGTGGACGCGGAAATCGTCATGTTGATCATGACAAACTTTGCCCAATTGATTGGGGCCGAATGCATGATCACATGGATAAGCTTGAGGTCTTCACCGTGCATGATGGTGTGGCCGTGCTTCCTCGGTTTGATGATTCGGGTGACGATGTAGAGAACGAGGCGGCCGTCGGGGTTGGCGGAGTGGATGGTTGGGCGTCCCGAGGCATGGCGTTTGAGCTCGGTGATGCCAAGCTCGTTGAGGATAAGGCCCTCGTTGTTGAGCACCCAATCCTTGCCACCATAGTGAGACACATCGTCGCCTTGGAAGGGGAGGCCGGCGATGCGCTCAAGCTGTTCCACGGTGAGCTCGATCGGCGTGCTCTTGACGAGCGAGTAGAGCACGTCGTCCTCACGCCGGAGGTTGGAGTAGAAGGCCCGGATCAGCGCCGGGTTGATCTCCTTGCGCGCCCGGGAGACAAACGGCCAAAGGCCGGCTTGATGAAGCTGCGCGTCGAGGTCGTCGTAGCCCTGCAATTCCGGGTAGCGGTCTGGGATGATTCGTGGGGGAGCCACAACCCGTTTGGAGAAAAAGGTGAGAAATCGGGTGCGCTCCTCCTCGGAATCGAACCAGAGGTACGATCCATCGCCGTAGTAGAGGCGTTCCTCGGAGGTCGTGGATGGAGCTCGGGATTTGGACTTGGATTTTCCGGAGGTGCCTGCCCTGTTCTTGTCTTTGCCCATTGTGAAGAAAACTCAAAAAATTAGAGTAGAGAGGATGAAATATGTGAAGATATTGAAGGAATTTGTGTTTGTGTGTGTAAAAGTGAAGAGAGGGGGTCCCAATTTATAGGAAAGGTGGTGTCTAACGGCCTGATTTTCAAAATTATGGCTGTTGGAGAAGTTAATGCTGCAGCCAACGGATTTTTTTTTGAAAATTTTGACCAGAACAGCGATGTTCTACAGGGGACATCGCTGTTGGGACAGCGCTGTTGTTCCTTGTACAGCGCTGTTTTGCGTCAAGTTTTTTTTTTTAAAAAAAAAGAGTCAAAAGGACAGCGATGTTGAGTACCCTACAGCGATGTTCCAAAAGTTTCTGGAATTGTGTAAGGGTGTAAACCCATTAGGACAGCGCTGTTGGGTTATCCTACATCGCTGTTATGCGATTGAAAAAAAATTTGTAAAAATGGACATCGATGTTGAAGGTAAGACATCGCTGTTTAAAAGGTTTCTGGTTTTGGTTGAAAACAAAAAGTTTTGGGAAGACAGCGATGTTCAAAAGGGAACATCGATGTTCAGAAAGTTTCTGGAAAGTGAAGGTGTAAGGGACTCCCTGGGACAGCGCTGTTGGGTTGATGGACAGCGCTGTTGGAAAACTTTCTTGTTGGCGGTGTTTCCCTCAACAGCGCTGTTGTGTCTCCTGGACAGCGCTGTTTTCATGGTTCCCCCTGATTTTATGAACGGGGTACCTTTCGCGTGTTTGTCAAGATGGTCAGACGTGCTCATCGGGGTCGCCATGGCTTTGGCGTTGTCCATTTCAAACCGTTTCAAGAGCTCCTTGCAGTATTTAGCTTGGCAAATGAACGTTCCATCTTTCATTTGCTTAACTTGGAGTCCCAAAAAGAATGTGAGCTCTCCCATCATTGACATTTCAAATTCGCTAGTCATTAGCGTTGAGAATTCCTTGCACAAAGACTCGTTAGTAGCACCGAATATAATGTCGTCTACATAAACTTGAACCAAAAGGATG